GCCCGCGCGCCCAGCGCCCAGCGCCCAGCGCCTGCGCTGCCCAGCTGTGCGCCCAGCGCGCCTGCGCTGCCCAATCGCGCGCCCAGCCGTCTCCCTTTCTTCAACCTCCACCACTCCCTCTTCAAAATAAAATGGGAAAGATTTGAAGTTTAAAAAAAAAAAAAAAAAAAAAAAAATGTAATCAATGCCTCCTTCTCCAAGTTTCCTTGGACATGGGGCATCGGGGGGCAAATGATGGGTTAAGCCCAAGTAGTCCAATTTATGTATTAAAGCCCAACCCCGGTTGAGGAGCCCAACCTCATTGTGAACCCACCAAGTCCAAGACAGACTAAGACCGGCTAGACTTCTTGCTTAGCACGTCACCAAGAGGAGAGCACGGGAAGTTTATCTACACCGCCTTAGGGAGCCCAAGGCCGGTTGGACTTCTTGCTTAGCACGCCACCAAGAGGAGAGCACGGTTGGACTTCTTGCTTAGCACGTCTCCAAGAGGAGAGCACGGTTGGACTTCTTGCTTAGCACGCCACCAAGAGGAGAGCACGGTTGGACTTCTTGCTTAGCACGTCTCCAAGAGGAGAGCACGGTTGGACTTCTTGCTTAGCACGCCACCAAGAGGAGAGCACGGTTGGACTTCTTGCTTAGCACGTCTCCAAGAGGAGAGCACGGTTGGACTTCTTGCTTAGCACGTCACCAAGAGGAGAGCACAAGAAGCTTATCAACGGTCCAATCTTTGACCACGTTTCCTTCAAGGGTTCCCCAAACTCTTCCTTCCGTTGAGAATAAGTCGTGATCTCCACCGAAGATAATCTCTAAGCTGCGATAAAGAAGCTTTGAGGATATGTTATGATCTCCACAAGAATGATCTCTTATCTACTATAAAATGGCTCTAATCTGAGAGAGAAAGGGACATGCTCCATCAAAGACTTACAGAAGACGAACCGACTACCGGAGATTATTATTTTCTCTGATTCTCTACTCCCCCTCTCAAAAGCTTGTATCTCCATTCTCCATACCTTTGAATCAATAAAATACCCGGCGACTGAAGCCATTGAAGAGTGGACGTAGGTCGAATTGACCGAACCACTATAAATTGTGTCTTCTTTAATTCTTTCGTTGATTTCATTGCATTTATTATCTATACTTGACAGGTGGTGTACAAAACCATTTTTGTGCATCATCAATATTTATTTATAATCCAATAAAAAATGTAATACGTGCTAAATTTTTCTTATTTATGTTATTTTTTAATCGATAATTATTAATCATTTAAATTAAAATCACCGACTATAAATCAAATTTTAATGTAAAACCTCAATCGTATCGTATCGTAACCTTATCAGTCTATGTCTGCAACACAGATCAATCATGTTGTCTGATGATAGATGACAAACCACTTTAATTCTAATATTCTAATGCATTTGTAATGGGATAGTTGAACTCATTGTAACATTATTTATCTCTTTACTTTTTGCAATTTCATCTTATATTATGCTCAAAATGGGAAAAAAAAAGAAGAAACTAAACATTTGATGTGCCTATGACAATAATTGTGCATTACAAGTTCACATACCTGATCCTTGGTGTAATCTTTGCCTTCTTCTTGTAACTGTTGCGTCTTTTATGTGATTGCCATGGATATCGTTGAGGAGGTTACGACTTCGTTGTCCAAATATAAAACTGTTACGATTTATGCGTGGTGCTTGAGTGAAAGCCAAATGTCATCCTTGCTATTCCTATGGGGGTGCAATTGCTGGGAAGGAGGTGCCAACCTAAACTTTGTTATCCATGATGAGCTGAGTGATCCAAGTTTGGAAGATTCGATTTGAATGTCCGAGCTCAACTTTATGCATATTTTGGGTATCATCAGTAATGAACATTTGAAAGATTGAAAATATGACGACGAGGAGTATTTTTATATTGCATTAGGAATAACCAAGCAAAAAATTCAGAGAGTGTAGAGAGAATAAATTTCTTGAATTTGTTTGTAGTAGAATGTGGATGTAGATCAGCATAGAATTGTCGGAAATTATGAAACGAGGGCAATGTACAGTTGACCCTCTAATAACTAAAATTAAATAACTTAAGTAGTCTTTATTAGTTGATACTTTCTTGAGGAACAAGCCTAAATAAATGGTAGATAAATAATGTTTCTATATTGTATGGTTAGAGTTTTTGTTTATGTTGCGAGCTCTAAGAGACTCAGACACATTCCAGTTAACTGAAAATAAGGGATCTATCTACCTTCTTTGTTTTCTTGTTTTTGCTCTGGTTCAGGTCATGGTTTTGAAGAGAGTGAGTTTCTTGTGAAAATAACATCAATTGTGTACTTGGTCTTCTTTCTAAAGCATCACCATCTCAACTTTTTTCCTTTGCCTAGTTTGGACGTACTCATCAGGATTAAAAGGCTGATAAATTTTGAGTTGTATATACTGTAAGGGCAGACCCATTAATCTTTTTCTGGGGATCCCTTGGTACAGAAGTCTTTTAAGGTGGCAACTACATTCACTTTTTGCTCATAGTCATCAAAATCGTATGATTCTCAATTTGATTCATACGATTCGGATTGATACAAGCACAAAACGATTCATTTCTTATATGAGAATCGTTTTTAGAATTGAATCACATTTGAATCATGCGATTCATATGATTCGATTTCTATTGCACAAATCACATGATTCAGTCACTTTTTTTTTAAAATTCAAATTTTGGAAAAACGAAGTCGTTTTATCCGCTAAGCAGTAAAATGACGTCGTTTATTTGTAGAGGAACTCATGCTCTAATAAAAACTCAGTCTCTTTTTATATCTCTCTCTCTCTCTCTCTTGTGTCGTCTAATGCTCGCCTCGCATTGTTTGAAGCTGAAGGTCACGATTAAAACTCTCGTGTCATCTGTTGAAGGTATGTTCCCTACTCCTCTTCTTCTTATTCTTCTCAAGAGTAAGAAAGTCCTAGCATGTCTTTTTTTTTTCTTATCCCTTATCATCATATTTTAGAATAAACTTTGATTTTTCCTCCTAATTCTATCATAGATAATTTGTTAGGTTCTAATTTTTTGTTTCAAAATGTTAGCCCGTATATTTTCTCCCAATCAATTTTTTTAATTATTCTTTTTTCATTCATGTTTGAAACCTAATCTGTACTAGGTGTCAGTATTTTGATTCTTGAATAGCCATGGTTCTTTAACGAATTTTTTTTCTTTAAGTGGTTGAATTTGAAAATGGTTAAGCAAAAGACGAAAATGAAGCAAAAAGTTAACATCTTTTCAATTGTACCGGGCCAAAAGTAATTATGTTGTTTACGCGTTTGGGGTCAAGATTTAAGTTATTTTCTGATAAAAAATGAATCATTTAGATTTATTTTAAATGAGCAAGTACAAAAGCATTTACATATGAATGAAACAGTATACTATATATCTTAACCTAATTGTATTTTTGCAGTACATATCTTAAGTAGTACATAATTTGCTGATTGTGCCCAATATTATATATATATATACACACTAGTCATAACTCGTACCTAAAGACACGATAAAATATAAAATTTGAGCTTTCAAAAAATCGATTCAACTATATTAAATTTTTTCAAAATATATTAATTACAAATTAATCAAATATTAAATGATTAAATATATGATATAAATAAATGATGTGATGTTTTTAGGGAGAAAATATATAAATGATTAAACATGTCATAGAAATGAGTGATGTGATTTGACGTTTGAGTCTGACAAAGGGATGATGGATGAGATAAGTGATTGGTGAAGGTTTTAAGGAAAAAAATATGACTGGGATAAAATTCAAATACACTCCTATTTTATTATATATATATATATATATATATATATATATATATATATATATATATATATATATATATATATATATATATGTTTACTAGCTAATTGTGGTGCACTTCCAGACACTTTATTACTTAGGCATGTATGTACCCTTCTAATGTTTTAAGTTTTCTTTAGCCTAACATAAATTGTACGTCCTGATTCTAGTTTTGTTTACTACAATGGTCAAATTAACAGTTAAATTTTTAAAACTGAAAATCAACGGTTTGGCTTCATTCTATCTCCTAACCCCTTTCTTATCCCCCATACCCATGTTTTTACCCGCTTCCCTGCATCAAACATGCTTTATCAAATCCTGCCAAATCTTCCTTCTGGAGTCCCTGTATCTTTTAGGGTCATCACTTATTATCCTGCAGCCTGGTGGCAGTAAAATTGAGGTGTTCAGAAATATTTGTTCAGCCGGAAACTTAGGGTGTCCATCTTTTTTCTTTATTGATCTCTTCTCACAAAATACTCACACATTACTTATGAAACAGATTGTTATTGGACGAATTGAACTTCAAAATCTTCTGATGAGAGCTATATGTTTAAAACTTTTGGTAATTATTGTATCTAGAATCTTGTAGAATATGTTTGCACCTTGTATCCTTCTACCAACATCTAGAACCTTCACCTTCTCACCACTAAGTTAGAATTCTTGAACCTTTCAAACCTCTTCCTACCTTGAGCTTCTAGACCCCTCTCTAGTCATCTATAAATAAACCCCCCACCACCCCAAATCACCAACAACAATTACTATTGCAAGCTTGTCCCTACTTTTCCTTTTGTAAGCTTTTGATTGTAAGCTTGTAACTTATATTTCTCCATAATAATGAAGGCTTTTTTTCTTCCCTCATTTTTGGAGCTATATTCTAATTTCTTTGTTCTTCTTCAACTTCGGTTATGAGTCTTGGGCTAGTAGAAATTTATTTTTCACTATTCTAATAAAGCAATTTTCGAAATTTGAAATTTCTTTTTCTTCACACTATATCCTTTAGTGTCATCCTCTAGTATATCCAACTAACATGCGATTATGTTATGGGGAGAATAGACGTATTTGGTCGGAAGACTCAGGTATCTTATGATTGTCAGATATTTAGTCTTTTCTCTTTAGTAGTATTTGTTGATCTGTTCTTTGAAAATACTTGACCTGATGAATCAAATTCGCAATGGACGACTGGAAAATCGCTTTCGAAAGGGGACTGCAAGAGGAAATATGTGTACAAGCTGTCAAATCTTTTCCCAATAACGAACCTGATTTTAGTCATGAATTTGTTCAAATATCTCAAAATACTAGGTCTCCACAAGGGCCTCAAGCTTATCCAAATGGGGCAGACTTACAAATAGGTCTATCTGAGCATCAACCAATGGTGGACTTTGATGTCACATGCAACGGAGGGAACATTGTTATTACTGGTCAAAGTGACATTCCTGTTATAGGTTCAGAAAAGAACATAAATAAGATATCTCCATTACTTAGTCCAGAGTTTCTTCCACAACTTTTTGGAATGAAGCTCAATGATGTTGCAAAGTGCCTTGGTGGTAACGCTGGTAGGGAAGCTAGATTTTTCTCTTGAAGTAAAAATGGAAAATTAAATTCTCTTATGCTGATCCTTTATTTTGTAGTTAGCCGAACTATGTTGAAGCGCGTGAAGCATAAAATTTGGAAATGGCTATTTCACAAAGCAAAGATGGTTGGTAACGACCTTCCTAAGCTGAATCGTGGAAATGAATCTATACGAGTTATTGAGGGAGCACTCTGTTAACCTAGTCTCACTATTGATCCAATTAATCGTGATGTTGGTTCAATGTGCTGGCCTGCCGAATTGAGAGAATCCAACCTACAGAACTTATGTCTTAGTTTTCAACAGATAGAATCAATTCCATCAGCACCATATTGTGTCCCAAATACTCTAGTTTCCATGCAACCTAGAACTTCAGTTGGACAACTGCTCACCGAGCTTACACGATGCTCAGAATTTTTGAAGTGCCTCCACGTTTCAGAACAAGCAGAAGTAGTCCTAGAATCTAGTGAGGCAGTCCTCCATCTTCTGAACTGCCTCCTGAGCATGGAGAGTCTTCTATTGCTCATACTATGCCACATGTTGCAGCAATGCAAGATATGAAGACCTTTCCACATAAAGGCAACACATAGAGTTGGTATTATACAATTTCCACTTTCTACTTCGTCCCGAAAGGCAAAGCTAGAGGAGAACATCACAGAGAGGCTAAATTTGAATCTTGGAAACTTTAGGATCAGCTATATGTATACAGAGGCTTCGTCCCGAAAGGCAAAGCTAGAGGAGAACATCACAGAGAGGCTAAATTTGAATCTTGGAAACTTTAGGATCAGCTATATGTATACAGAGGGCAATTGGATTTTAATTACTTGTGATAAAGACTTGCAGTATTACATGATTGTTTCGGAAAGATTGGGCCACAATACAATCAAAATGTTTGTTGAGGACATTGCTAATACATAAACTTGAATCGAAGGGTTGTATTTGTATAGTGTTGAGCTTGTTTATTGCACTTTTCTCTATTGATCTGTCTCATTGTCTTCCTCGCTTTCTATGCTATGCATTGTAGAAGAGTTCCAGTTCAAATTGTATCCAGGAATTGTGACTACCATCCAAGCCCTCGGTGCAAACGTTTATTTCCCAACATGGCCGGCCTTATAGTATAAAAATAGATAAAAGCGTTGGCTTTAGGCTCGATATATGAAAAAGACTCCAAATTGAAAATTAATAATGTAATATAAACTTAAAAATAAAATTTACTGTAATATAGTATAACAAAATATTTTTTGAATTCAAAAGTCTAGACCGTCTCACACAATCACATTTATTAAAAGACAAAAAAAGATTAACCAAAAAAAAAATGTTGACAAAATTCATCTCTTTTTTCAAATGAAAGAAGTATAATAAACATCTCTCTTTAGTCAAAAAAAAAAAAAACTAACCAAACATATTCACTACTTCTCTTAAACCTATTTTTTTTTATTTGACCACAAAAACCATTAAACCATTCATTCCCATTAAAAAAATATTTTGATAAAGTTCTTATTTGTAACAAATAAAATATAACATAAAGTTAGGGAAAATTACATAGATAAATAAGTAAAAACCAAAGATTGTAAATTAATCCCAAAGAAAATAACAATGAATTTATTTATAATAAAATCAACCATCTAATATCATATTTTCAATAAAGAATATATAAAATAAATAAAAAGAACATAAAAATATTAATAAACCAATTAATTTTATTCCTTTAAATATTTATGATCAAAAATCATATTATCAATCAAAAAAAAATTAGCAAAATTTGAATAAAAAAATAATTAGCAATTTTGAATCTCATCAAAAAGTAAATAGATTTTAAATTGAAAAAGGCCAACTTCCATTTTTTACAATAAGGTTAAAATTATCTTTTTACATAGAATCTGTCAACTAACATTCACTTTTTTTGTAGGTCTCACAAAACCCATTTATATGTAAATAAACAAGATGTTGTATTGTATAGATAGTATTTGTTAAATACTAGCACACCTTATCCGCAAAATAAACACACCCATAGTTGTATACATAAAAATGGCGACCTCAATTTACTTCAATTCAGTAACATACTTCAATTTACCACATTGTGGTTTTTTTTACAATATTTGTGGGTGTTTTTACTATTGTTGTGGTAATCTAAAAAATGATAAAAATAGTTATCACAACTATTATAAAAATATTCATAAATATGGTAAAAATATCCACAAATATAATAAAAACAGTAAAAAATATGATAAATTTTTTTAACTGAAAAAAATTGAAAAAAGTAGTTATCACAAATGTAATAAAAACATAATAACCACATTGTAACATTATTTATCTCTTTACTTTTTGCAATTTCATCTTATATTATCTCATTTCCTCCCAAACCTCTCATTATCAATTTGGGTGTTGATTTTTGTTGGGTACATACAAAAATTAAATAAAGAGGACTTTAAAGGTGAGCAGGGTGCTTGTATAGAAACGGTGAAATGAGATACACACACTTGTATAGTTATGGTGCATAATGACCTGGAAACCTCTTTGCACTCTTATGGTGCAAAACAATAATCAATTTCATAGTCCTCCTATCATGATGTCGAAATATTACTTTTTGGTATGATATATTTATTTATAATCCAATATAAAATGTAATACGTGCTAAATTTTTCTTATTTATGTTATTTTTTAATCAATAATTATTAATTATTCATATTAAAACCACCGACTATAGATCAATTTTAATGTGAAACCTCAATCGTATTGTAGCCTTATCAGTCTACTTATTCCTATCAGCAACATGCACCACTTTGTTGCCACTCCACCCCTTTGTTGCCTCTCATCAATGTCTAAAAAAATTACCATTTGTGTGCTTCTAATCCTTTTCACCTTAGACACTTTTAAGTAATGAGACTTGTGATTTACAACGTAAGATTAGAGTTATTGCTGCTTAGTAAGATTAGGTCTTATCAAAAAGTTCAAAGTTCAATAGACCAGTCCAAAAATCTAACGGGACGCTTGACCCAAACATATAGCAGGGCTTGGATAGCCCGTTAGCCCGACAAGTAAAGCCTAAGCCATGTTTTTAGGGCTAGGGGCTTAGCGGGTCGATTCATTAAGAAACCCGTTAGCCCAGAAGAACACACTCGTTGGAAATGTAAATTAGATTATATTTCATAATTGTATTATTTATTTGATATTTGATTTATAACTTTTATAAAGTTGAAACTTACAAATAATTGACAATTGCGTAAGTACCAATTTAGTTGGAATGTACTTAATTTGTGGTGATGCAAAATAATCACATCCATCAATCAATTTGTAATGTAATATTGTAACTCTATATGCATATTTATTAAATTCAATTAATATGAATAATTTTTTTTTGGTTAATTTATTTTTTCATACCAACTTCATTGACCCAATAGACCAACCCATGAGCCTTAAAATTCCTAATTGGTGGACCCAACCCATGAGCCTTAAAATTCCTAATTGGTGGACCCAACCCATGAGCCTTAAAATTCCTAATTGGTGGACCCAACCCATCCCATTGACTAGTCCAAGTCCAGAGGCCCATCCCACGGGTGAGCTATCGGCTAAAAAAATCCCGGGCCGGGCCGGCCCGTTGCCGAGGCCTAAGTAAGACTACGGCATTGATGTAGCGGTATTTACAAATCAGAAGTCAAAATGCAAACCGAGATGAAACAAAAGAATGAAGGTTTCATCTGCTTCATGCCCGCGAAAAGGATTATGGAACATCCATACCAAAATAATAACAGAATGTATAAATCATTAGAACGGGTTTCTTCCTATAATTGAAATTCATCACACAAATATAACTACTCACCCAACATTAATACAAAACTCCTTTTCTCGAGTTTTTTAACTAGATTCACAACTTGGAAGGGCAAAAGAGATTCTTTTCCCCCTCCACGAGGCCAACCCACCTACAAGAGTAAGGAATTCCAGCCATTTCTTTGCATGGAAGATACTCCAGTTTTATAATAAAAGCAAAAGAACAAGAAAACCCAAAAAAAAAAAAAAAAATAGGGTTCAAGGATAGGATCCTTTTTATAGCGCACACACTTATATATACCCCAAGAAGGTAAAACCCATTCAACATTTCTTGTTTCTAAGTTTTCCAAGGCCATGGCTTCTGGAGCAGGCAAATCAGCAGCATTTATCCTCCTAACTCTCAATCTCATGCTGTATTTCATCGTCACAATAATAGCTGCATGGGCTATAAACCATGGGATTGAAAGAGCGCGAGAAACAGGTAAATAATTACATTGTCCAATCCCGATTTATCGAATCAAGCAGTACATAAAAATCAGAATAATCGTGATGAAGTTATTTATTCGATTTTTTTTGTCTTTGATTCAGCTGAATGTTATCCACTTGGTTGTGCAGCATCAACTTTGTCGATCCCAGCTCGGATATTTCCCATATATTTTCCGTTTGGTAACATGGCAACTGGTTTTTTCATCATCTTCTCACTCATAGCTGGTGTTGTGGGCTTCATCACCTCAGTTACTGGAATCACCAATATAATCCAGTCGAATCTCTCCAACTTACATGCAGCTGCTGCCTCTTCCCTCATTACTTGGTCACTCACACTACTTGCCATGGGGTATATAATTTTCTTAATCAAAGATTAATTCACAATACATAGTGCGTGTGTTGGAGAAGGTTGCGGGGGTTCAGGTTTGACACCACGGGGCTCATGCCGTTTTCCCTATTATTTCTCTGCAGATTGGCATGCAAGGAGATTGAGATAGGCTGGACAGATTCAAACTTGGTAAGCAACTGTTTATAATTTAAAGCTAATGAACTCGAGGAATGAAAATTAACCTTCCTCTCTCTCTCTCTTCCTAAGAAATCATTTACTTATTTGCTATACTTAGAGAAAAGGATCACTGGAGGAAGTCTCATAACCACGATGGGTCTAACGTTCTGGTGAAATCAAATCCTACCAAGACCCAAAAGAAACCCAAAAAGACCCTAGTCATAAAGCATGCAAAACTAACATCAGGCTACGAAAAAGTGAGGCGGGTTTTCTGGGGGTTTGGCTTTGGAGAATTCTTCATTCATGAAATCATGGTTGTTAATGACATAAGTCTCTTTTATTTTTCCTATGGCATTACAGAGGAGTCTAGAGACCTTGATGATAATTCTGAGCGGGACACAGTTATTTTGCATGGGAACTATCCATGTTGGCGTTGAAGATG